CTTCTGAGATTAATGCATCACATATTCATCCAATGCAAACCAAATTAAGGTCTGGAGTTATGCCTAGGCAAGATTATTCTGCTTATGTGTCTGATACCTTAGTGCCTACCCCTTCTATTAAGTGTCCTTCTGAATTTGCATCTTTGTTTATTAATGAACATGATGTTAGTTTTTCTAGATAAACCTATTAGCAACTATCACAGATGGTGATGAGCCAAAAACTTATAAAGTTGCTTCCAAGGATCCAGTTTAGCAAAAGGCTATGCAAGAGGAGTTTGATACCTTAAAAACACAGAGTACTTGGGCACAAAGCACAGTTGGCTGCTCAGGGCTTTACACAAGAACAGAGACTTGATTATTTGGAGATTTTTAGTCCTATGGTTAGGCACTCCACTGTTAGGCTTATTTTGGCTTTAGCTACTTCTCAACATTAGTCTCTTCAACAATTGGATATCAAAAATGTTTTTTTGCATGGCGAATTATAGGAGGAAATATATATGTAGCAGCCAAAAGGGTTCATTAATCCACTTTATCCTAATTCTGTTTGTAAATTGGATAAATCACTCTATGGGCTTAAACAAGCTCTAAGAATATGGCATTCCAAATTTACAGGAGTTCTTCCTTCCTTGGGATTTTGCGCTTCTTCTTCTTATGCTAGTCTATTTGTGAAACATGATGGTGTTCATATTGTTATCCTCCTCTTATACGTCGATGACATTATTATTACTGGGTTTGACGCATTACATGTTCAATATATAATTGATCAGCTTGAGGAGTTGTTTATTCTCAAAGACATGGGAGCTCTTACTTATTTTCTTGGTCTTCATATAAAATATCGAGACAATGGCACTTTGTTTGTGAATCAAACCAAGTATGCCAAAGAGTTACTCAAGTAAATAGGGATGGACAGTTGTAAACCAGCTCCAACTCCTTCCAAACCTCATACTCAAGTTTGTACTACTAAAGGCCTTCCTTTGGAGGATCCAACTTTCTATAAAAGTCTTGTAGGTGCTCTTCAGTACCTTACATTTACTAGGACCGATATATCACATGATGTTTGTCACATCCCGGCCCCGGGCCCCCACCACATCCCGGTCCCGGGCCCCCACCACATCTAAATAAAAATAAAAAAATAGAATTTGGTCGGCTAAATCTAAGTATCTCTAAGATATAAACAGTGATGTCACTTAGTATCATGGTCTATTGGTATTCCTCTTTATTTTTAAGTGAAAGGTCTTAGGTTTAGTTCTCGCCAAAGGTGAAGTTAAACCATATTATTATGGCAAGCTCATTGTAAAGTTTAGCTCACTCCCCCATCCCTTGGACCATCTCCAATCATTGGGTTAAAACCTAAAATTTTTAACCCATAAATAGTTTTTCTTCTCTAACCTTTCTGGGTTAAATTTTTAGCCCAAGACTATTAAAGAATGAATTTAGAATACTTTTTTTCTTAAAGTAAATTTAAAAAAAAAAAATATGTGGACTATCCTTATTTAATTTTATGAACATTTTAACCTAAAAATATTTAGAATCCGATAAATATTGAAAAATCACTAAATCGACACCATGAAATTCGCGCAACACTATGAAATTAAGAATATGAAACACATAAAAGATTTTTTTTTTAATTACTTTAGTTGTTAAATTTAAATTTGGACCGTTAAATTTTTTTTTTAAATTAAAAAAAATATATATATATTTAAACAGTGATACACAAATAATCAATTACATATAGTAACTAAACTCAATGTTATTTAAGACACTAATTTCATCCTTGCACTTCGTCATTTGAAAGGTAAGCCAGAATATATATTTTTAAACCATGCTTGTTGAGGAAGTCAATCTTAAATATTTTATTTCTAGTGGAGTTTGAAACTGATATATGTGAATGTTAAACTAATCATATAACACCATAATATGTCGTCCAAATTGAATTGAGTGGGATCATAACAAAACCAACTTCTAGATCATAACAAGACCACTTCTAGATCATAACAAAACCACCTCTAGATCATAACAAAACTAACTTCTAGATCATAACAAAATTAAGACTTTTTGCATGAATTGATAATCAAAAACAAGGTTTGCAGAAATGCGTATTTTGCTCTCCATTGAAGTTCCCTTCTTATAGTATAGAAATTTAGAGCCTATAATCATTTTGTTTACACTTTTTGTTTTTAATTTTTTTTATTAACCTTGAAAGTTATTTGGTAAATCCTTTCTTTTAAGCAAGGAGTCTTGTAGATTTCGTTGTTTTCTTTGAACCCATATATTATGGGCCTAAAATTGTAACGCAAAACTAAAACGTTAATTTTGAACAATTTGAAAAGTTCAAAATATCGACTTTCGAAATATGGCAGCAACAAATATACATTAAAACCTCTCTAAAGTAAAATCTATAAGAAATAACCTCAAGTCATAACAAATTATGGTCCGAAGTTAGGACCATTTATGTATAGAAATAAACTCCATACTGTAATAAGATATAATTTTTCTTGATTCCATCTAAAGAAACACACATCCACATAGTTATAACAAGCAGCTAAACCCGCGCGATGCCGCGGGTTACAAAACTATGTTAAACATGTAGAAAATTTTGAAAAAGTATGTGCTAAAAGAATAGTGTTTATATACATATATTACATGAGAAAATTGAGAATGCTAATATGACATAGCTAGGGAGTGCTATTTACAAAATGTATAAAGATTACCTTCAACCCACTGTAACCATATAGAGGTATTGAACGATTGATAACCATGAAAACTTATATGTATTCTATAAACAACATAAATCTACTAAGTTAATGAATTCCATTAAAAAAATCTACCAAATGAAAAATTCACTTGGTATTTACTGTAAAGCCAAACCACTAAGGAATTGGAACTTACTTTGTAAAAAAATTAACCCTTCTTCGGGTTGAACCAGCTACAACTCTTGGCGTTGGCAAAAGCTCTGGTTTCCTAAATGCCACATACATTTGCTTTAGAAAACATTAGAGTAGCGTAATACTTAATTCGGTATAAAAATGAAAAATTTAAGTTTTTTCTGTATAATGCAAGTGGTAGACATGGCAAAATTACAATTTGAGGGCAAAAAAATAAAAATCTCGTAGGATTGCTACAGATACTAACAATTGTAGTAAACCAATTTACTAATACTACGACTTATCTTATGATATTTTTCTTGTTTTGTTAGATGCGAAATTTAATTAGTAATATAATTTCGTTTTTATTAAAGCAGAAATACAGGGAAGCTAGCGGATTCGCCGGAATCTAGGTTACGGAATGAGCTTCAATCTTCTTCAAACCTTCACCAAATCGTACATGGAAGCCATGAAATCATGACCAAGAAAGTAAGAATGGGCTCAGACTTGAGTTCGTGAGGTCGAAGGGATGAGAATGGTGATTGTTTTGGGTGTACCTGGGTTCGTGGGTGGGGTTGGGGGTTATCGGGATGTTGAGAGAGCGAGAGAAAGAATGATGACCAGCAGAGAGAAGGAGATTCAAAAATATGGACGGACTGATTTCTTATCACACTGCCCAAAAAAAAAATGAACTGTCCAGATTCAATCAGATTTAAATTAGACTAACATTGAAATTACACAATTAAAGCAGGGGCATTTTCGGAAGTACACTATTCTTATGAACAGGGTTCCAGTGTATTTTCAGGTTTAGTATAGATTAAATTTTTGTTTCCAGTTGGGGTTTGATGCTCTCTTTTTGCACAATCAACACTAATAATTTCAGTCAACTGATTTTCATATTGACCTTGGATTGAAAGAAGTAAACCTCTCTAAAGTAATAATCTATAAGAAATAACCTCATGTCATAACAAATTATGGTCCTAAGTTGGGATCAGTTATGGATAGAAATAAACTCCATACTGTAATAAGATATAATTTTTCTTAATTTCATCTAAAGAAACTGTTTAGACCTGATTTTACACTATTGGCCGGAGTAATCAAGGCCGTAGAAGAACTAAATTATGAGCCGTTGGATTGAAAGAAGATTGAGATGATTGCTTAATAATTTGTCTGAATATTATTATGATTTTAATCATAATAAAATTATCTGCGGAATTATTGAAAGTTATTTGTAAAAGTGCAGATGTTTTTGGGTTGGTTCTATGCACGTGGCTTAAGTGCCATGTGGTAATAAAGTTTCAGAGGGGTTTTGCTTTGCAGAAAGCTTGGGGTAATGCTAAAATAATGGTGATGGAATTATGATGGAGTAATGTTATCTATATCATGTTTTTGTATCACATTTTTATACTATTTTAGATGATATTTGATGTGAACAGCCACATCATTTAAATTAATCAGATTTTTAAATTTAGTTTTTTATTTAATAAACTAATAATTAAGAAAAACTAGTTAATTAAATGATGATTGTGGTATACGAGGAGTCTTTCTCATTCATTTCCTTAAGTTTTGTAAATTTTTCAAATAATGTGACTGTCACATCAGATGTCACTTAAGATAATATAAAAATATGATATGAATAACATTACTCTTTAGATAATAGGCTTCAGCTTATAAATGAAATAAGGAAATAGTGACGTGATGCGGCAAGAGGTTACCATGCATACATAGATAAAGATTATGAAAACATGGTGGGACCGAATATCCTTGGCAGGATGCCAAGAATTTCAGTCAAATGGCATTACATGCAAGACTTGCAGATAAAGTGGCAGTACATCAATTGGACGCATCTCCAGCCATAATTGATGTTCAGCATATGATGATGCTGCTGATTCTTTCAGCACCCAAGTTCTATTCCCTAAGAAATCCTATTCCGAATATCCAACGTTCATGAAGGAATAAATAAGTTAGTAAATAATATTTTTAAACTACACCTACTTCAGTAATGATCTCTCTAAGGTTATAAAATTTGTTTGCTCCCAGCTTTATGGGCTTTACTACGTAACATATTAATGCGTGAATACCCATCTTTCCAATCATTTTTTTTAATTGTTCACAACTTCGTTGGTTTAATTTATTGCTAAAATAACCCAAATTCTAAGCTACGGTATTAGAAAAGACAATAAAAAACCTAATTTGGAAGCAAATTACAATAATCTAAGTTATTTTGTTTGTGAATGCAAAATCCAAACTTGTTTCTAATTTGAAAACCACCCTTGAACAGATCATAAGGTCAAGATTCGGCAATCCTACCGGCTTCCTATGAATATATGCTAGGGCGGGTCAACATTCGAAGGTTCGCAGTAGGATTCCCTTCACTCGTTTTTGCTTGCTGGGCACGAAGCTTCAACTATACATAAGCGTACAAGTTTCAGTCAAGCTCCTCCTTCTTCCCAAACCCTCTCCCTTAAGTTGCTCTCTATTTCTTGCTTTTCATGCTTGCTTGGATTTCGGGTTTTGTGGGCCTTGTTTCTTTTTAGAGAGAGAGAGAGAGAGAGAGAGAGAGAGAGAGAGAGAGGATGAAGTGTAGCAGTGAGTCTTCTTCCAAACCGGACAGGAAGACAGTGGAGAGAAACAGAAGAATTCAAATGAAAAGTCTCTGCTTCAAGCTTGCTTCACTTGTCCCTCCCCAACACTTCAAAACCACCAACTCCAAGGTACATATAGATCATTGGAAAATTTTATTATATGGTACTACTTTAAGTTCTATATATATAATTTAACTATATGTATATAGTACTACTATACGTTCAAATATATATATATATGCACAGTACTAACATATATGTTAAAGCAATTAATTTTCCTATATGTAAATTTATGAATAGCAAATAATATATATTTTGTAGGTAAATTAATAATGAATCATTCTTTTATTTTGTAAGTAACTTATTTTTCATATATTATTACATATATTTGACACATTTTATTATTATAAGATATATGTACAAATAATAGGTAAATTAGATTCGAATCAAATAACATTGCTTTATTTTGTAAGTAAATTAATTTTGAATCAAATAGCATTCTTTTGTTATGTAGATATTTTACTTTGTATGTATCAATGTCATATATATTTGGCACATTTTATTATTATATGTACAAATAATAGGTAAATTAGTATTAAACAAAATAATATTGTTTTTAAACAATCTAACATTTTAAAATTTTAATATTAGGTGCACTATTTGAATTAAATTTTTTTTTTTTCAGGTAAATTATTTTGCCTGAGTTTTACATATATCATGCATTTATATATATATATATATATATATGTGTGTGTGTGTGTGTGTGTGTGAAATAATTTACCTACATTAATATGTGAAATATAATTTTATTGACTTAACTAAGCTTGTATAATAACATATACTAGACATATTTTATATTATTATATATATTAGGCAATGAATTTATAACATTAATGTTTTTTTTTTAAATCATTCATTCTCCCTTACCATCCATCTGCATGACATTAATTATGTACATCAAACATTCAAATAGGGTTTATTGAAAGAAAAAAAATCAAATAGGGGTATTTTAGGCATCCAAATTTTTTTAAATGTACGAAGTCAAACATAAGTAATGAATTTGCTAATGTGGAATCCAGTCAATGGGTTTTATTCAAATAAAAAACTTATGTCGGATTTAATGTGGAGAAAATTAAGTTATAGGGGATAAAGTCATGTTTTTTTTTTTTTTCTCTACACCTAGCTTAAAATTTAGATACAAATTGTGTATTTTACTCTATGTAATTTGGTTACAAATTAGGGTTTGGTTATTGTAAAAGGAGGTAGAGATCAGAAACAGTCAATTAATATATATATAAAAGCAAAAACATGAACGGGACGGAAATGAAAATGAAGATTGTGTATTGTGACAAGATTGGTTTCAAGGAAATGAATTGTGCGTCAGAGAGAGAGAGAGAGAGAGAGAGAGCAGCAGCAGCACATGTATGTATTAGGTTTTTTTTCTTTCCAAAACGTATGTATTAGTTAAGTTAGTCAAATTCATATTCCTCGTCCAACTCACTTAGATTCAGTTGTACAAATATACTTTACCTCTCTATATAATTGATTGATCTGGTGAAATATACGAAAATTGGAGCCTTCGATTTCCGTCGTTCTCTCAAGAGTTTTACCCAATTTTTGGTTTTCTTCGTATTGTTCTACTGGGACCATGAATGGAGGGACTGCTTCTTAGTTTTTGGGTTCGAATAAAATTTCCCTACATTGTTTAGGACATGTTAGTTTGTTAGTCTAAATTCAATAATCTAGTAACATAACATATCAAATATTTAGGTTGAGAGAACGCTACTCCTTAACTAAATATATTTCAATAAAAATCAAATTTCACTATCGGCTTTATTCATTGCAATATGCGTTTCTCCCATTGATTAGGATACCGTGTCACAGCAAAATCAGCTTGATACTGCGGCATCCTATATAAAGCAACTAAGAGAGAGAATAGAGAATTTGAAGGAAAGGAAGGAGAAAGCAATGAGATCACAATTAGGCAGTTCTAATTCTGACATTGGTTCTATTGCTGCCGAAAATGCCGTAATGACGGGATCAAGATTACCAGTTCTTGAAATAAAAGACTCGGGTTCCTGCATAGAAGTTATGTTGATTAGTGGGTTGAATAAGAACTTCATGTTTTATGAAGTCATCCGTGTTCTTCAGGAACAAGGAGCTGAAGTTGTGAGTGCTAGCTTTTTCACTGTAGGCGATAAAGTTTTCCACTCAGCACATGCTCAGGTACTAAAACAATCATCCGAAGCTAATATCGTCTAATCATTTATTCTAATCTTGAAAAAAATGTACTAAAATAATTAAGGTCCTTATGAAACGGACTTGTCAATTTTATTTGGGTAAATTACAAAAAATTATCTTAACTATTGGGTCATTAATAGTTTCATACCTCGTCTTTAAAAAGTTTCAATGTCATACCGTATCTTTTGAATTTGTTGCAATGTCATACCTTCCGTCAGTTGACTGTCAATTCCTCTGTTAAATGTTAACGTGGCATGAGGTAGGGTCCATTTTTTATTTAAAAATTAATAAAATATTATTCAAAACATAAAAAAAAAATTTAAAAATTAATTAAATTTTATAACTTTTAAATTTAAAAAAAAAAAAAAAAAACCAAAACCAAAGCCCAGCCCGCAACCCATCCTTCACCTCCTCTGCGCACCCATCTTTCCCATCTTCCTCCCCCCTCCCCCCTTCACCCGAGCCCAACCCGCAACCCAGAAAGAAAATAAAAAAAATAAAAAAACCCATCGTCTTCTTCTTCTTCTAGGTTGCAGGTTGGATGGGGGAGAAGGGGGTGGGGTTGGGTTGGCCTGGGAGGGGAGGGGAGGAAGACAAACTAGGTTTTTTTTTTTTTTTTTTTTTTCTTTTCTTCTTCTTCTTCTTCTTTCTGGGTTGCAGGGGGTTGGGGAGGGACGAACTGGGTTTGGTTTAGGTGTTTTTTTTTTTATTTTCCTTCTCCTTTTTCTTATTTCTGGGTTGTAGGGGGTTGGGTTTATGGGCTGGCCCCGAGGGGGGGGGGTGTGTCGGGTTTGGTTTGGGTTTTTTTTTTTTTCTTCTTCTTTCTAGGTTGCAGGGGATTGGGTTTGTGGGCAGGGGACGAACTGGGTTTGGTTTGGGCTTTTTATTTTTTATTTTTTTCCTTCTTCTTCTTCCTCCTCCTCTTTCTTCTTTCTGGGTTGTAGCGGGTTAGGTTTATGGGGGGGACGAGCTAGGTTTGGTTTGGGTGTTTTTTTTTTCCTTCTTCTTCTTCCTCTTTCTTCTTCTTCTTCTCCTTCTTCCTCTTTCTCCTTCTCTTTCTCTTTCTCTTTCTCCTTCTCCTTCTCCTTCTCCTTCTCTTTCTTCTTCTTCTTCTTCTTCTTCTTCTTCTTCTTCTTCTTCTTCTTCTTAGGTTGCAAGGGGTGGGTTTTTTTTTATTTTTAGTTTTAATAATATTTTATTAGTTTTTAATAGAAAGTATGCCACGTCATACACCACGTCAGCATTTAACAAAAGAATTGACAAACAATTGACGGAATGTATGACATTGCAACAAATTCGAAAGATACGGTATGACATTGAAACTTTTTAAAGATGAGGCATGAAATTGTTAATAACCCAATAGTTGAGGTAGTTTTTTGTAGTTTACTCATTTTATTTTTTATGCTTTTTTGTAGGTCAAAATTTCTAGAGATGGAGTAGACACTTCAACGGTATGGCAGAGACTACAGGATTTGTTGTACTGAGTAGCTAGCTAGCTAGCTAGCTTTACCTCTTGAAAGCTGAAGATTTATAAATAATGTTTTAGCAACTGCATCATGAAAGAGCTCTGGAAGGAGAGACTGTGAGAATAAGTAGCTGTGAAATAAAGCAGCTAAGTGCTTGATAAACTTTTTTGTAAAAGTGCTTTTGGAAAAAAAAAAAAAAAAAAAAAGTAGTATTATAGTGTTTAGTAAATTTTTATGTAAAACAATTGTGACAGTGTGAAATGACCAAAAAAGATATAATACTAGATGTGTCATTAATTTAATTTTCTTAAGTCTTCCCCCCTTATTTTCTCCATCTTCATCGAGAAGTCTCTCCCACTGCCCCACTATTGAACCAAACTTTCCAAAAACCAAAAACATCTCTTTAGAAGTCTCCCCCACAACCGCAATTTTCTCAAATTTTATTTTTTTTACTTCGTCTTCTTCTTTTTTATTTTCTGCTCCGTTCCTCAATCTCTATCACCTGTCCTTTGATTTGCAATACATACATGGTCTAGCTGCTCGAGGAGTTCATTATATGCATCGAGCAGGGCCAACGCTCTAGGATGCTGGTTTCTTTCTTCTTCCGGGTCTAATCATTTTTTCTTTTTGAAACTGTATAGCGTGAATGTGATCATATGAAGTAATTTCCTCTATTTAATTTTGGGTATTTGGAATAATTGAGTTTTGGTGTCCATATGGGGAATCTGGGCTATCCTAATTTGCAGAAATACGAAGATCAGTCGCCTGTAAGCGGTGCAATCTTGGAAATCTGGGCAAATCTGCGATGCCAAAACCGAATATGGTCCTCGTCGGAAAAGATGGTGGTATTTCTCAGCGCGATTTTGTCGACATGGGAGTGAGAAAGGACAGGGGCAGAAACAACGTCCTAGGGTATGGAATCCAAGGTCAATAACGTCCTAGGGTTAAAGCTAAGAATGAACGGCGTTGTGGCGGGATCGACGAGGACGACCTTCCAATTGAAGTCGGCGACATTTTCTAGTTGGTATTATGTGTAATTATTTAATTGTTTAAGGTCATTTTGGGTGTTTGAAAGTTTCATCAAAGGGCTCAGCACCTCTTGCAAATTAGGTTTGCGCAGAAGCTGTGGAAGCAAAAAAAGCCAGTTTTTCAAAGCTATCTTCTGCTGCTTTGAACTTTTAGCTTTTTTTCACCCAAAACTTTGAAAAAAAAATGAAGTCGTTGTTTACCAAACACAAAAAAGCTCCCAGCTTTTTTTTATACCCACTTTTTTAAAAACACCTCAATACTAAACCAGTACTTAATTAGGATACAGAAATTGATGTTCCCTGTTTCATGGGCAAGCCATTGAGTTAATAATCAACGAATCTATTAATATATACAGATGTGATATGGTGTTAACTTTTTGTTTATTGTCCCTTTTCTAAATTGGTCTCAAAGTATTGATTCTTAACCATCTTTTTAGAAAATAATTAGATAATTTCATATTTATACACAAGATTACACGTAGAGGGTGTTGAATCCTTAATGATGCTACAACAGCATAATATTCTCTTCATGGAATAAGCATCTATATATAGTCATTGCCTTACATTAATAGAGGAAGTGAAGGTTAGGGTTTCGAGAGGAGGAACGTGGTTGGAGAGCAGAAAGGCGAGCTAGGGTTTTGGGTTTGTGCAGCAGAGAGGCAAACCTATTCCATGTAGAAATATGTGTAACCGTGGTGCAAACGTCCATTATCTATATATAAAGGGAGCACCCAAAATAGTAAAGCATTCAAATACCATATATTGTCCCTCAAGATTTCAAAAATTGCAATTGAATTAAAAAGAGTTAGCCAAAGGTGAATTTGAAGTATATTATTGCTAGCCCATTGTGAGGCTTAGCTTACTCCTCCACTCTCATAGTGTAGATAATATCGCTTCTTAAAAAAAATAAAAATTCAACGCATTTTGATTTTGGATGATTTAAACTTTAAAAATTTAGGAAAAAAATAACAAAAACAGAAAACCCCTATTAGTGGGTGGTTTATGATTTGTGACATCTTGTCCCGAGTTTTATTGTATTTTATTCTTAATAGTAGTGAAATTATGAAAATGCCCCTGAGATGCCACGTAGGCCTTCCATGTGGAACTCAATTTTTCCTTTCACTTTTCAGTCTTATTTTACTATTTTCAAATAGTACTCACTTTTACGAACACCTGGCTGCAGACGGAACTTCATTCGGAGTTATAACAAACAAGTTATGTTTGAAATTGTGTAAAAATACTTAAGGCAAGTCCTGAACTTGGAAATTTCCCTCATGCAGCATGCATCCTTGCTGGAACATTCTTGAGTGTTGAGTGGGTCTTTGTGCAATGGGTAGTAGATCTTTGCAATTCTTATTCTCTAGATAAAAACTCACCTAATTCTAAACATCCAAATAAAATCCAAATTGGAAAAAGATTGCTAAGTAGAAAAGTAATTGACCTATTATTACAAAATATTTACAACTTGTGCCACAATATTCAAATCAAATCAATAAATGTGATTACTCACCTTAATTATAATGAACAAATAATTATTGCACATACTATTACCCCTAACATACACACGCACACGGGCACACGCGCGCGCACACGCACACGTCAAAAGTATACAGTACTACTATAAGTTCAATGTATATATAATTTAACAATATGTACTACTATACGCTCAAATATATACATACACACACACACACACACACACACACACACACAGAGTACTAACATATCTGTTAAAAAAATATTATATGTAATTAATTTACCTATATGTAAATTTATGATTAGCAAATAATATATATTTTGTAGGTAAATTAATAATGAATCAAATGACATTCTTTTATTTTGTAGGTAACTTATTTTTCATATATTATTACATATATTTGACACATTTTATTATTGTGACAGCCCGTCCCGAAATTTTTGAAAACGTATGTATGAAAAGACTGTTTTGCCCCTAGTTCGATTTTGTTACATATTTTGGTTGTTTTTGTGTTGTGTTGGCATGTCTTTGGGCCACACACACACTCCCACACCTGCACCACTCCCTGTCCCTTTCCCTGTGATTCCCCGAGCCCCACTTCCCTTCCTCTTCCTTTGAAAACATACGGACACACACCAAATCCCATCAAACAACCACAGATCGAAGGAAACAAGTACATATTCGAGCTCGTGAGGCTCGTGCGAGTGCAACCATACCATTTTTAGGTAAGAACTTCAACGTTTTCACGTCGATTTCACAATGGCCGATTTGGGGTACTATTCATGCACACGTGATTTCTCACGTTTTAGGGGAAATGAAGCTTGTAGATAGCTTGGTGGGGTCCCAAGGAGGCTCGGAGTAGCTTGTTTGAAGAAATTGGACGTCGGGATCGTTGGTTTCGAAGTTGGCCGGAGTTGAGTGGTTTGGACAGGTGAGATTTTGTGGTTTTTGTTCCCTAAAAGTTGTATATTTGTATTCTTCTAGGTCTAAGCTTCATTTTGGTGGTAATTTCATGAAATTTGGACGAAAAACGAGCGAGATATCGAAGTTTGAAAATTTCCCAGTTTTCCGGCGCCAGAGGCTCGCCGGAGAAGGTGACGGAATATTCCGTCAATTCTGACGGAATATTCCTGATGCCGTTAACGGAATCTGTCAAAATTGACGGAATATTCCTAACGGTGTCAGTTGACGCCGTCAGCGTGCCAGGCACGTGCCTGCGCGTGGCCGGCGCGTGGGGGCGCGTGCGGCGGTGGAAAATTTTTCTAAAAATATGGGTGTGATCCTGAGGTTGTGTAGAGCACGTTGGTATATTCAATTGTCCATTTTGAGCAATGTATGAGAAGTTGTTACGAAAGGAAGGTTATGTGCTTTAAAATTAATGTTTTTATAGTATTTTCGCATATAGGTGAGACGTATCCCGAGGACGAGCGTGGTCACTCGAGGCAGGGGGCTACGACCCTTCCACATACCAGTGAGTGGGCTTTTGGTTTTCCGTATATACCTATATACTTATAATTCCCAGAAATTTATATAATGTTTATTAGTTATATGCCATGCATTATATTATTGTTACTTATGCATTATTAGTTGCATTATTGGGCGTATATATTTATATACATGTGCACATTTGGTGCTGTGGATGCACAGGTAAGTGCCAGGTAAGTGTTATTCATGTTTACTTTTACGTGGTGATTCGAGATACTTAGAGAGCTCATAACCTGCACCCCCGGTGTTAGTGCTCCCGCCCATAGTAGGGCACAGTCCTTCACGTGTTGTTCACCTCCCGCACCATACGCTTAGCTTGGATCCAAGTTAGATGCACAGTCTTGTCGTACAGACCACTTTAGGTGGTTCCGACTCGTAGGTGACCCGCGATTATTCGCACAGCCTTCACGTGATCGTAGCACTAGAGCGTTTATATGTATTACATCCAGGCCTGTCGTACAAACCACTTTAGGTGGTTCCGACTCGTGGGTAGGTTTAGTTGTTGTGATTGAGATTTGAGCTCTAGATTCAGCCGTACAGGTCACTTTAGGTGACTCCGGCTGCCAGATTATATGTTATTGATATGATTTATACCTGAGCACTTGCATTTCATTCTGAGGTTCCGACATGGCATATTATGGAGCATGATTGGCATATCTATATATACGTGCATATGTTTATTTTCTGGGAAGTATACAGGTTTTACGGCGAGGGGTTAGAACTTATTTTGTTAAATGGTTTTAAAAAGCTTTGTTTTTGCCCACTCACGCTTTTGTTTTGCGCCCCTCCAGGTTCTAGCTTTTCAGTTGGTTTGGTGGTTTCCCAGAGGGCTTTCCCGGCATTTCTGACAGACGATCACCAGCGTATGTCCACCTTCGGGTGCACTGTTGTAACGTTATTTTAGTTGGACTGCTTTAGGCTTTCTGCTCTGAATTTGTGTCTCACTTACGCTAGCACTTACTACTCCTACCTTATGTATGCTAGTTTTTATTTATTCGTACTTTTATATTACTACTTTATTAGCTTCCGCACTGTGCACTTGGCTACGTCACTTCCACGTGACGGCCAGCACGCCCTGATCTCGGTCGGGGTGTGTCAATTATTATAAGATATATGTACAAATAATAGGTAAATTAACTTTGAATCAAATAACCTTGCTTTATTTTGTAAGTAAATTAATTTTTGAATCAAATAGCATTCTTTTGTTATGTAGGTATTTTATTTTGTATGTATCAATGTCATATATATATATATATATGGCACATTTTATTATTATATGTATATATAATAGGTAAATTAGTATTAAATAAAATAAATATTGTTTTTGTCACATCCCGGCCCGGGGGGCACCACTTCCCGGGCCCGCTCCACCACCATAGCACGATATTGTCCGCTTTGGGCCCACCATTCCCTCACGGTTTTGTTTTTGGGAACTCACGAGCAACTTCCCAGTGGGTCACCCATCATGGGATTGCTCTAGCCCCCTTCTCACTTAACTTCGGAGTTCCTACGGAACCCGAAGCCAGTGAGCTCCCAAAAGGCCTCGTGCTAGGTAGGGATGAGAATATACATTTAAGGATCAGTCCCCTAGGCGATGTGGGATGTCACAGTTTTATTATGTAGGTAAATTATTTTACTTGAATTTTGCATATAATGAGTTTGTTATTACGTAGGTAAATTACTTTTCATGTATTTTACAT